CTCTAGAACATATTCCAAGCCCTCTGATCCTTGAATGCGGAAGCTGCTAAATCTTGTGTTATCCTGACTGTGGCTTCACAAAACTTGAACTGTTTATTTCTGGCTGCTTGCAATATTCTTGTCCTTGACCTGAGAGCTCTGGAATTTGGCTATAATATTCCTAAGAGTTTTTGTTTTAAGCTCTCTTTCAGAAGGTGATCAGTGGATTCTTTTGATTTCTATTTGACACTTTGGTTCTAGAATATCAGAGCAGTTTTCCTTGATAATTTCTTGAAAGATGATGTGCTTTTTTTTTTGTGGTAGTCCAATAATTTTTAAATGCTCTCTCCTGGATCTCCAAGTCACTTGTTCTTCCAATGAGATATTTCACATTGTCTTCTATTTTTTCATTCATTTGGCTTAATTTTATTGTTTCTTGATTTCTCATAAAGTCATTAGCTTCCATTTGCTCAATTCTAATTTTTAAGGAATTATTTTCTTCAGTGAGTTTTTGGACCTCCTTTTCCATGTGGCCAATTATATTTTTAAGGAGATTTTTCCTTCAGTGAATTTTTGTGCCTTTTTTTCTATTTGGCCAATTTTAGTTTTTAAAGCATTCTTCTCCTCATTGGCTTCTTGTACCTCTTTTACCATTTTGCCTAGTCTGCTTTTTAAGTGTTATTTTTCCTCAATATTTTTTGTGTGTCTCCTTACAAAGCTGTTGATTCATTTTTTCATGATTTTCTTGCATCACTCTCATTTCTCTTCCCAATTTTTCCTCTACCTCTCTTACTTGATTTTCAAAATGCTTTCTGAGTTCTTCCATGGCCTGAAACCAATTCATATTTTTTCTTGGAGGCTTTGGATGTAGGAGCTTTGACTTTGTTATCTTCTTCTGAGTGTGTTTTGATCTTCATTGTCACCATAGCAATTTTCTATGGTCAGAATTTTTTCTGTTGTTTGCTTATTTTCCCAGCCTATTATTTGATTTTTAACTCTTTGTTAAAGTAGGGCTTTGTTTCCAAGGTGGAGCACACACTGTCCCAAGCTTTAGGGGTTACTGCAGCTATTTTCAGACATTCTTCTCTAGGGACCTGCATGTTTTCAGTTCTTCTAAGGTAGTATGATCTTAGGAGAGGTGTTTACTACTCTCCTGGACTGTACTCTGGTTGTGAGTCACCACAAGCACTCTTTTCTGCCCTGGATCTGTGAGGAGGGTTCACCCTTAATTATGGCTGCAAGTTCTGCTATGCGAGTGTTCCTCCTCACCCAGGGACTGCCACCTAGGACTGCAACCCAGATCTGAGTATGGGTAAAGCAACAGAGTCCTGCCTCAGTGCTATCAAAGAGACCCTTGTAATCTCCTTCTGACCCCTTTACCAATTATCTCATATGATCATCATAACAGTCTTGTGAGGTAAGTACTATTATGGTTCCCATTTTATAGTTGAGGAAACTGAGGCTGAGAGAAGTTAAGTGACTTCTCCAGGGTCACAGCTAGTAAGTGCCTGAGGCCAGATTTGAACTGAAGTCTTTCTGACCCCAGAACTAGAATTCTATCCACTGCACTACCTAGCTGCTTTCTAGGGTATACAGCTTATTCTTTCTTCTCCAAAATTTAAAAATTTTACCCATGTTGGATCTATTTATATAAGTTCTGTTACCACTATACCTTGGTAGGAAGTATAAGTGGTACAGTGGATAGAGTACTAGACTTAGAATCAGGATGACCAGAGTTGAAATCCAGCCTTAGACATTTAGTAGCTGTGTGAGCCTGGGCAAGTCTCTTAAGCTCTTTTTGCCTCAGTTTCCTCTACAGTAACATGGACATAACAGCAGCACCCACCTCTTAGCATTGTTGTGAGAATTAAATGAGATAATATTTGTGAGGTGTTTTGCAAACCTTAAAGTACTATATAAATATTAGTTGTTGTTGCTATTCCATTGTAACTTTACATTTAATGTCAAGATTTTATTTTTATAGGTCAATGATTTTTGAACATGCCTATCAAGAGCAAAGCTAATGTTAGATTTTAGCATATTTTTAGCACATTTAAAACATATGCTTTAGCATATTTAGCATATTTCCCCCAAATAAGGAAGGCTTGCTGGATAGAGAGCAAGCCTTGGCACAAGGAAGACCTGAATTCAAGTTCAAATTCTAACCTTAACTGATTTTGTGACTTTGGGCAAATCAATTACTTTCATAATGCTTTAGGAAATACTATAAAACTATAAATTATAGAGATGCCAACCAACATTGGTAGAGGAGTTTTCTCTCCCATAAATTTGCTTCACCAATGAATCACAGGTACTGTCCCACAGGTACTTACTCTTTCCTTCTCCCTTCAATAGCTACAGATTAAGCTTTTCTTTTTGTTGGGTTTTTTTTTCAATAATCTGTAATCTGTATAGTTACTCATGGCTAAATATAACTAAATCAAATGTCAGGAGAGACTGGACGAAAGCTTCACCAAAGACCATGAATGGATTTGCTGCACTTTCTTTAAATACTATTTTGTTTTAGTTTTGGAAAAAGACTCCAATTTATTGAATCAAAAGTTTCTAGTATAAGAATAACCTAACCTAATCTTACTAGGAACTTTAGCACTCTTCTTAGAGACTAAACATAGATAATTTCATTGAGTTAGATGAAGGTCATATTGAAACAAGTAGAGTGCTCCAGCAACAAGCTACAAGATAGAGCCAACTGAAGCTGATTGAACTAACTAGGGGAAAATAGGGCAGCATTTATTCATTTACTTAGCAAAGGTTACTTACCATTGCTCCTTCTGGGCATTGCCACTAGATGAGGAAATGTGGTTGAAATTAATGTGATTGATGCATTACAACTATAAAATATTTCCAAAGTGTGGGCCTGTTGGAAAGTGTCATACATATCAAACATTCAGCCAATTGCTTTGAAATGAATGTATGGTACCAGCATAAGTGTTCTAGAAAGTGAGGATAACCATCTGAAAGTTATAAATATTCAAACCTTTACTAAAAGCAGATTGTAGATGAGATTTAAATGACATGCACTACATCAGAGGAAGGCTAGATTCCAAAGTTCTACAAAAAGAAATTGTATTTACAGATGACGTATCCTAATCAAATGCATCTAGCATCGTCTGGAAGACTTAATAGCATACTGTAACTTAATATTGCAGTCAATATGTATAACAGAACCCATAATTAATTTTCTAATAACCAAGTAAAAAGTCAAGAAGGAAATAAAGGAGTAAGAAAGTTAAAAGAAAAAACCCAGAACTCTCAACAAAAAAACATTTATCAACATAATTGAAATGACTTGAGAGACCTTTTAAGCCACTGAGACTTCTTTGATTGTGGGCATGCCCCTGGCTGTCACTAAAATGCTTTCATGATCCGCTTGCTATCTCTAACTCTTGTTATTCTTCCATACCCTTTTCACACTGAACTGCAGAAATAGGCCTTAATGGAAAAGTAAATGAATAGCAGAGAAGACCCTGGCAGTCTTTCAATTACAAAAGCAGTTGGATTGGAAGCAACCATCAATCTATCCCACTGCATCTTCTAGGTGGTCACTCTTTCTTTGTCTCTTAGTGATGGCTTTAGTATTTATAACAGCTGTGGAATGAAGTACTTTGAATCGAACAAAGCCAATAGTCTGTCTCTGTTTTTCCCTCTCTAATACCAAGCTACTCAGTGGCTTTCCATATGCAAATGATACACATGCATTTCGGATGGATTTGATTTTCATCCAAACTGGGGCCAAATGAAACTAATTTCTTGGAGATTGGAAATGCCCACTCTGTGAAATCACAAAGTTACTTTGCCTGAGGGGCCTTTCCCCTCGGGGTGTCAAAGGTGATTAAAAACATGAAAATATTAAAAAGCCCATTTTCCCGACCAAGAAACTGAAGCACGATAATTAAAGGAGCCACATGCTCAGAAGGAGTTCAAGGGCACATAAGGAGAGTAGGAAAAGTTAATTTATTACCTTATTTAACAAAACAACCCTGGTCTCATACTCAGATAGAGTTATTTTGAATGTTTATGGCTTTTGAATATTAAAAGCATACTCCCTTAAATAAATCTTTCACACTGAAAATCATCATAGCAATATACTTTTAAAATGGAAATTTTAAAATATTAAATAGAATTATACCCCAAGCTAAAGCTTTTAGTTTCTGTGTAATTTTTAAACATCTTTACATGTAATATTTTATTGAGACTTAATTCAGTATTAGTTTCTTTTTTATCCATTCAACACTAGGTATATTAATTTTGGCATTTATCTTTATTATCTCTTAATATTCATTAAGGTTTACACAAACATGCACAATTTTAATAAAGATAATGTTTATAAAAATTAATACATATTCTATTCTAAGCTGTATATGTACATATTAGCACTGCCCTTGCTTCCTGTTACATTTTACTGATGAATTTTTATGGCCAGTACACCAGAAACAACTGGTGTCTATTTTTAAGCAACAAAGAATTTGTTCATTGGATTCAATAAATGTGTATGCAGATATGTATGGGGGGAGGAGATGGTTTAAGTTACTCTATCAACATTTCTTTGCCATTCGTAAGCATTCTCCAAAGACCTTTTTCTTTTCCAACAGCAAAAGAAGTTAATGACAAGTGGCAGCCTTAAAAAAAAAAACAAAAAAAAACAACAACAAAAAAATACTTATTTGATAGATGTGATGTTTTGTTATCAGTTCCCCAGAATTAACAAAAGATCTAACGCTATATGTGCCATTAAAAAAGAGACCTATGAGAGATAGTTTCTAAAAGAACTGAAAATTGATAATTGTATCTGGATAAAATTGAGAGGTTTTACTTTCTGGAAGGAGCTGGGTGCCTTCTTGTCAGAAGGAAATTATAAATAAAATGATTCATTTAAAACACCTATCGAGTTACACCAAACAACTCTACAATGGCATAATGGAAACACCATGTAAAGATTACATTCTAGTTAAACATTTCAACAAGATTATGATATCCCCTATTGGGTGACAGAAAGATGATTAGGAGTATATGTGAATATGCCTCCCCACAAGGAGGAATAGTAATCCAGCCAACAAAGAGAAAAATATCCCAGCTGGGGCCAGCAGAAATGACCAGCCGTACATGACGTAGGGTGTAAATTCTGAGCAGTCTTTCCTCTTCATATTTGTGTAGCTTTCCATGTCTGCCACAGCCTGGACCCAGATGACATATAACACCACCACCAGGGAGAACAGGATACCTAAAAAAGACACATCAGAAGGGCTTTTACACATTTTGGAAGCATGGTAGCACTACACTCATTTTACTTATATCCAGATACTAGTATACAAAAGGTGCAAGGGAGAGGTTTTAGAGAAGCTAGTCCTGAGTTCAAATCTGGCCTCAGATACTTCCTAGCTGTGTGATCCTGGGCAAATCACTTAACCCCATTTACTTCATTTACTTCATCTGTAAAATGAGCTGGAGAAGGAAATGATGAACAAAAATCACAAACTCAGTATCTTTGCTAAGAAAATGCCAAATCAGGTCACAGCGAGTCAAACACAACTTAAAATGATGGAACAACATGTGCTTGGTATGCCACTAAGCATTAAAGACACAAAGAAATGCAAAAAATAGCCCTTTCCCTAACAGTGCTCACATTTTAACGAGGGATACAACATCCAAATAACTATGTATATAAAAGATATACATAATGGAAATGGAAAATAATCTCAGAGGAAAAGGGTTCAAAGTGGGAGACCCTAAAGTCCTCTTGTAGAAGGAGGTAGAATTAGAGCTGATCTTGAAGGAATCTAGGAAAGTCAAGAGTCAGAGGTGAGGAGGGAGATAATTCCAGGCATGGGGGAAAACGAGTAATAATCACAGAGTCAGGAGATGGAGTATCATGTACTAGGAATGGCAAGGCAGCTGGATCATTAAATGCCTGGAGGGGAGTAAAGTCTACCAAGATTGGAAAGCTAAGAAGGGGCCATGTTGTGAAGAGTTTTAAATGCCAGAGAAGTTTATATTTGATTCTAGAGGTAATAGGGAATCACTGGAGTTTATTATATGGGGTTAGACCTACATTTGGGGAAAATTACTTTGGCAGCTGTTGTAAAAGAAGGACTGGATCAGTGAAAGTCATGAGGTTGGAGCAGCATGATCTATGACTCCAAACTGACTCATACATCCACATATACCATAGTGAAGACAAAAGGAGCAAAAAAAACACCAAAACACAAGTATGCCAATATTTCAGTTAAAGGTGCTTCTTTCCTCCAAACCTCACAGAGATCTCCTACATAGATTGATTCCAATCACTCTTACCACATGATCTTTTCTCACCATCATGTATAGACTTATTTTTAAAAAAAAAACAGCTTTGTCATTATTTAGCTCCCCTAAAATTCTAGTGTCAGTGTAAACAGACACCAATTGCCTATACTATCTGTGGCAGCCCAGGTGTAAAAGGAGCATAATAGGGGAACCCCAGACAAACACTGCGAGTACAGCCTGGACCAGAGGTGGGGAACCTGCAGCCTCAAGGCCCCGGCTTCTAGGTCTCCAGATGTGGCCTCTTGACCAAGCCCAAGTTTTGCAGAACAAATCCTTTTTATTAAGGGGATCTGTTCTGTGAAGTTTGGATTCAGTCAAAGGGCCGCACCTGAGGGCCTAGAAGGCCACAGGTTCCCCAGTCCTGGCCTGGACCCTCTCCCACGGCCTTGCCAAGACGCATCCTATCACAGAATAGTTATCATATAAGAACATCTCCTCCCCTTCTTTGGAAGTTTGTCTCAGTGCTTCTCTATTTGGCCCTTTCTTAATCTTTTTTTTTTCCATGTACTTTTCTGGGAAGGCTGGGTTAAGCTAGAGTACAATCCAATTATTTCCTTTGCCTTTTTCCTACCTTCAGAGCTTTACAAGAAGGGTAATTAAATGATTCCTGCACCTCTACTCTCCACTCTTCCTAGGTTTCACCACCTGAGGTGTAAGCCTAAAATTAAAAATCTTATCTATCCAAACTAGGTAAACATCTTCCTTACTACCCACCCCACCCATAAGTAGGCTTCTTACTCAATCAGTTAATCAGTCAACAAACATTTATTAAGTATCCATTCTATGCCAAACACTGTAATGGTGGGGATACAAAGTAAAAGATAAGTTTGCCCTCAAGGAGCTTACAGTCTAACTTTTTTTTTGTAACCAGGAGTTATTAGTTAGTTTTTATCCTACTTGGGGACCTCATCTTGGTCCCTTGTGACAATAGTGGCAACTTTTCTCTGGTAATCATAGAATTGTACTCTAGCTCCTCTGCTATAGTGGAATCATGGGAAGGGTGCCTCTCTCTCTCTCTCTCTCTCTCTCATTCTCTTGCTCTCTCTCTCTCTCTCCCTCTCTCTCTCTCTCTCTCTCTCTCTCTCTCTCTCTCTC